ATAACAATCGATATGATATGAATGTACTGTTATCTTCCTCAGGCAAGGTAAGTAAAACATAGAAAATCGATGTATTGATGTCTAGACAATAGAGAATACGTAAGATACTGATCTGTGTATACGGAAAGCCCGAAGATTTGATTGAACTTTTATTTGATGAACATCAAGTATAACCAGATGAATTTTTCCGTGTGTTGTTTTCTCAGAAAAAGGAAAAAAGTTCATTAGAGAAACGAAACTTTCCCTTATCTTTCTCTCTCAACTCGATGAAATCATTTCTGGTTGAAGAGAATTTTCTGATCATCTCGAATAGTTTATTGTTTGAGTCATTCAGGCAGCAATAATCATCATTGCACTACTATTCCTAGTTCATGATCAAGAGACATGGCCTCAAGCTTGAGCCAATTAAAAGTTCAATAATTCTTCCTATCGTTATTTTCTAATTTGTTTGCGCCATATGCTCTTTTTTCTTCTCCTTCTATTGACAGTCAAGGTTGTTTTGTTCGTTGCGATATTTCATAAATCGAAGAGAGCAAGTCAAAACAAATAGTCGCCAATGGGCGTTAGTGTCTGCATACATATTCAATTCGGTCCATCGCGTTTGTCTTCCATCTCATTTCCTCACTCAGATGAGAATTGCCAATGAACACAATCTCATTCCGATGATTAGATCAGAATGAGACGACGATGTCATTTTCGTCTCGTATAGACGAGCACCGGAACTTTCTCTTTCTATTTTTCTTGGGCGTATATCCTTCTTCATCTTTCTTCATGGACACCGCACATCTGCACACCTGTCGAACATTCTCAGTAGATGAGACGGTGGTCATTTGGGAGAGAAAATGTCCTATCCATGTGTTTCTATTTGTAGATGATGTTTTCCGTACCCCTACTGTTATTTATCGTGTCAATTGTCGACTGCAAAGATGAAGATCAACAAATCATTCATATACGTGTTGATGAGGAATTACCATTGTCAACAATCTTATTTACAACGACAAATACAATAACTTATCGTTTATTTGATACGGGAAGAAATCAAAATTCATTTGTTCGATATGATTCATCGACCGGTCATCTTTTTCTTGCACGTTCAATTGATCGCGAAGATTTATGTTCGCAACGTTTATGTTCTTGTTTACAATGTCAATTAACAATTGAATTGATTGAATGGCAGCCACCGTACCGTCTTTTACAACTGATTTTGAATATCGATGATGTTAATGATAATATTCCAAGATTTTTATCAAATGTTTATGATTTTAACGTAATGGAAAATACTCCAATTGGCTATGAAGTGAATTTAGAACAAGCGAGTGACGCGGATTTGGGTGAAAATAGCCGAATTAATTATCAATTGAAGCGCTTGGATGAAAATAATAATGATGGACCGTTTGAATTAATGACGAAGATTAATGGTGGGTTAGTTTTGAAAGTGATTAAGGAGATCGATCGTGAAGAACGAGATCATTATGAATATGAATTGATTGCTATTGATAATGGTCAACCTAAACGACAAAGTTCAACCAAATTGTACACTAAAATCGATGTATGTACTTTGAAAAACGACATGCAAATTCATTTTTCTCTCTTCTTAGGATATGAATGATAATCCTGTTGTTCTTGCCGAATCATACATTCATTTAAATGTTAGCGAGAGTACACCTGTTGGTGTTGAATTAGCACGTATTAATGCAACAGATAGAGACATTGGATTGAATGGAAAGGTACGAATTTGTTTTATTTGTTGTTCGGATGATCATTTCGGACTATTCAGATTCATTATTCGATCACAAGTGGACTTCCATCATCGAGTTGGATGGATCTTTTTCGAATCGGCGATTCGACTGGAATGTATGTTCTATGGAATTGATTCTGTGCAGAAGAACTGTGCCTTTTTTTCCTCTTTAGATTGACTCTAGTTGGTCGACTTGATTATGAATCTGAACAATCTTATCGTTTAACAATTCAAGTACGCGATTTAGGCGAAAATTCTCTCGCACGTTTTGCTACAATTGATATTTCAATTCTCGACGAGAATGATAATCGTCCACAAGCATTCGTGACATTTGTTCAATCGTTAATCAATGATTCGATCATCCCCATTCATGAAAACATTCCAATCGGACAGATTTTAGCGCATGTTTCGATCTCTGATCAAGATTCAGGGCTAAATGGCGAAATGTCCTATCGAATTGACGAAGGCAATGATTTAGTTGGAATCCGAACGATTGATCAAAAGTCGTTTTTACTCATTACGGAAAGTTCGGTTGATCGAGAAGACAATCGAGTCTATTCGGAGAAATTTATTTTAATTATTTATGATCATGGTCAACCTTCGAAAGAACTTCGTTTAGAATACAAATTGATGATTATTGATGAAAATGATTCACCACCTGTATTCAATCAATCAATCAGCTGTAATATACAAATAAATCCTTCACAAAATCAATCATTAGGTTCGTTTGCTTTTCCCTCCTTTGTAACTTTCAGACAAACAGAAGATTTTGATCTTTTAGAAAACAATCAGCCGTTGTTTCAAATATCTGCGACCGATGCTGATCTAGGTGAAAATGCTCGTCTGTCTTATTCAATTCTTCCACCATATGAGAATTTATTCACTATTAATGATCAGGGTCAAGTATTTCTTTCGGAAATTTTAAATCAATCATCATCTTATCATCTACGAATAATGGCCATGGATCACGGAATCCCAAATCGCTTGAATACAACTCAAGAATGTTTGATTTCGACATTAAAATTCCAAAAAATCGACGCTACACTCGAAGATGATAATCAATCATATTCAAATCTCTCATCTATCAGTGATAAAACTATTTTTTCATGGTCATTTCCATTATTTGATCATTATTCTTATGTAATCATCGGTTTATTTCTATTTTTTCTATTTATAATTCTTATTATCATAACTATTTCTATCACATTTTGTTTACATTCGTATATCTTTCGTCATCGAAAAGTTCTCAAACCCAATCAAACCTACGATTGTTCTCGACGATTCAATTTGTACGATACGATCCAACGAAAATCTCCGTTTAACAATGATGATAGTGCATGTAGCAGTAAATTAGATGAACACGACGATATGACATCAGAAGAACGTGAACGTCTTGTGAATTTAAATGGAAGTGATCAAACTTCGTTTGAATCATCGGATTCAATGCATCGGCAGATACGAATTCTTAACAAAGTAAACTTTCGACTAGATAGAATTCAATTCATGTTTTGCTCATGGAATTTTTCTTTTAGAATTCAACAATGCGACCCTTGTCAGATCATCAAAGCTTTTCTCGAATCATTCGAAATAGTTACCCACCTTCGCCATATCTTTCGTCAATGCCTTCTGTTGTCATTCCACCACGTATGTTTCGCATTGTTTTCTTCAATCGATTGTTTCATATTGAAAATTTTAGCAAAACCACCACGAGACAGCGGATATGACTCGATTTGTACATCAAAACACCAACAGATTGTTTCTGGACGACCTTTATCGTTATCAATCTCGACTGCAACGACATATACAAGTAGTGGCACAGATTCTTCATCATCACCGCTTCCACCGCCATCGATGAATACATTTCGAGCACCGTATTCTTCATTTAAATACAATGTACCTCTGACGAACGTCGCGCGTCTTGCTGAAGAGGAGAAAATGGATGTTTAGATGGAAGTTATTTTCTCAGGAAACACTACTAGTCAACGAAAAATCTTCTTTAACTTTTTCGTGTGTGTGTGTGTGTATGCGTGCTTCTTTGTTTTTTTTTTCACTCAGCGACTGAAATAATCGCGTATTTTCTTTTAGTTTGTTTTTGTGCAATTTCAAAACTTTTCTCTGTGTGCATGTGTGTGTATTTCTCTCAGAAAAGATGATAACCGAAAAATTTCTCATTTGCAGTAGATTCTATTGTGAAAAAAAAATCAATAAATTCATATTGAAATTCATTTTTCTCAAACATCAAAACGATCTTTGCAATTCCGGTCTCATCCGTCAATATATTCAAATCATTTTTTTTTATCATACATATAACATCTGACATTTCATCACTCAGATTAACCTTGTTCGTCCCACCTGCTTAGCATGATTAACAAAATATTCGCTCTGAATTGAACTGTGCATGATGCATACATAGGAAATAGTTATCAAGCTTGCATCAGACTCGAATTTCTTCGATTATTACCATCAGATTTATGTTCTATATGATGGATTGAAGATTCGATACACCTGTTACTTATCATTCATATATGTAGACGATCGAATATCTAAAAAACAAATACGCGTGTACTTAATTAGTCTGTTAATTTATCTTTTGCTGATATCTTCGTTGAAAAATGAACAAGATCATTAACTGTTTCTTGTCGAAGGCTAACTAAGCATATTAAAATACGATTAATTCATATGATTATGCAAAAGTGTTCTGTTATTTCTTCGTTTAGATTACATAGTTGATATAAACAGAATTCAAAGAAATGTTTCGAACAACTTTTATACGATTTTACATAAGAGAAATATCGGAAATTAAACAAGAGATGCTGATCATGATTACTTTCAATATTGAATGAAACCTTGAGAATAAAATTGTCTTTTTTCTTGACTCTATTACAAATTACATATGTTCTGAATGTCCTTGTCGATTCCTCCTTGGAGTACAACATGTTCGGATCATCAAATTCCTTGATGATTAGTTTCTAATGAAGCTTGTTTGAATGATATCGTCTAGTGTATATTCGAAATAATAATAATAATAATAATAATAATCGCAAGATCAGTTGTGCAGAATGAAAGGGAGGTACCACTCTTTCTTTGTATACTCGAATGAGTTCTTCTAATTCGTATAAAACAATGTATCCATATTCCGCTACACATATGTATTGTCTGTTGTTTTTGTTGGTACGCGTGTGTATACTAAAAGAAATAATGCTATTATTTGCAATCTCTCTTTCTCTCATTCTCTTAAGTGTTATTGTTGTTCTATCATTAAATGAAGGGAACACACAGAACGAGAGGGAGAGAGAGAACTGTACCATTTTGCTCTCTCCTTCTCTTTATATATATGTATGTCCCTTTAGTCCATCGTTTAACCATTGTAAGCAGTATCTTTGTACATACGTACATATACTCACATTCAAACGTAATATACATATAAAGAGCTGTATTCATATTCATTCGTTCACCTGTCCTTCGATTGCGCTTGATTTGCTTCTTGTTTCTTCTTCACACATATAGATCTACCTATTTACCGATCATCATCATATTGTTCTCATTTACTTTTCATCTCTATTTGTGCATACTAATAATAATAATAATGATAGTGGTCAAACTAGTGATTTGATCTAGCAAGAGATACTTCGTCTTATTTGTACATCTAAACCAATGCTTAGCCAAATTTATTTTCTGCTTTTCGTCTTGATTGGTATATCAACAGCGTTAAACATCGAAGATAATTCCATTGATGATGTTGAATTGACAAGTGATATGTAAGTAAAAACAAAATTCTAGACATGTGTAGATCCAAGATAAATGTTGACATTGATGAAAGATCAGCGTTGACGACGATAACATCAAAGAAAACTTGACAATCGCAAGAATAGATTAGATGAGACATAATTCTGTTTGTCTGTATTCTTTTCTTTGCGATACAAAAGAGAGAGAGAGAGAGAAAAAAAGTCTTGAATCATAAAAACAACATTGTCTCTATCTGTATTTGTTTTAAAGGCCAAATGTTTGTTCAAAAATCGAGACACGTACTGTAACAAAATTAGTTCCATGTCTGAAAAGCTACGAACATCTTGTTAAAGTTTGGTCACGAAATTGTTCCAATGGTCGTCGTGTATGTCCTGTCTATGAGCACAGGTACGACATTGATCTATTTATACTATATGAAAACAAAAGTTTGATTGTTGTTCTGATGATTAATCTGTCTATTTAGAACGGAGTACTATCGAAGTGAACAAAAAGTCACAAAAGAAGTCAATGTAACGATTTATCATTGTTGTCTTGGATGGACACGACTTGTTTATGATTACGGTTGTCCGATCGGTAAGAATTCATTAAAATCCTATTAAAATCATTTGAAAATAATCGACTTTTCCCCCCCTCTTTGAAATCTTTCTTCTCGAAGTCGATGATTGAGTAATACATTTTGCAATCTCTCATTAGAAACGAGTATCCCACTTGATTTTTTTTTGCATGTTAATACTTTTCGGGCGAAGAGAGAGAAAAAAATGAGCGAATATAATATATGGTCAGTCAACGTATTGTGTATGAGGACAATAGGGGGATATATACACACCGATATAGTTATTGTTCATCAGAGTTGATTTATAAAATCGATGACCATGAACTTAGTTGGGGTTTTGTTTTGCATCTTGTGATTGAATGCAGATGTAGATGAAGTTGAAATCTTTATGTTTGGAAGATTGATTTGTCGAAGAGATTAGAAGAAAAAGAATGTTTTGATAATTAATGTCTAGTCGTGTAGTAGAACAAATTCGAAGGTCAAAGATGTTCGAGAGATGATTATATATCATTGTGAATAACAAAATGTACTATGAAATTCGATTTTCATTGAAATATATGTCGATTGACTCAATCATCGAATGAAAATGAAATAAAACAGACAAAGTATTCGTTTGTTTATCTAGCAATGCAACCAAATCGAGTACAACGCAAAATCCCAGTTCGTCATCAATTAGCCATGATGAATAGTAAGACTTTTCTCTGCATTCGTTCGTTTTATTTCATATTCTTATGTTGAAGATCGTTGTCCGCATAACCGTTTCGGTATGCATTGTGAATATTCGTGTTCTCAATGTATGTACGGCACGTGCAATTGGCGTATGAAAACATGTGATTGTCAAATCGGCTTTTCTGGAGTGTTTTGTAATGAAACAACAATGATTGAACGGATTGATCAAACACATCGATGTCAATTATGTCACAAAGGAAATACGGCTTCGTGTCATATGGAAGTAGGTAGGCCTTTTATTTGTGATATTCATAAAGAATCGTCGAGATCGAGTCGAATTTCAATAGAAAGAAAAGATATTTGATTAACATAAAAAAAGATATTTTTCTTTACGTCATCTTTTAGACTGGCAAGTGTCAATGTTTACCTGGTCATCAGGGAATTCGTTGTGAAGAAGGTAAGACATGAAAGAGGAAGAAACATTGATTTTATATAACGCTTTCTAACAGATAGAATATTAACATGTGAGTAGATTGTATTGAATGCTTCTTTTGTATGTGTGCATTGTGATTAAGAATTATGTTAATAGATTTTGATAAGAGAAACATGAGATAAGACTTTTTTTTTGTAATAGATTGTCCAGTGAATTACTATGGCCGGGGTTGTGTACATCGTTGTTTATGTCAAAATGGAGGCAAATGTGATTCGCGTGATGGACATTGTTTTTGTTTGCCGGGATTTACTGGTAGTCGATGTGAATCCGTGTGTCCACAAGGCACGTTCGGTCATATGTGTTTACAAAAATGTCAATGTGGAAGTGAAAATATTTGTAATCCTCGAACAGGTAATAACAGAAGAAATCAAGTGAAATTAATCTTATCAATCATTTAATTTAAAGGTGAATGCAATGCATTGTTCTGTCGTGGTGATCCGAAATGTTTAGCAGAACAAGAAAGAAGATTTACATATGTAACATTATGCCCGGAAGGTTATTACGGTCCACCACGATGTCGACAGAAGTGTATGTGTGTGAACAATGCTCAGTGTGATCCATTGTCAGGTCGTTGTCTTTGCCATTCGGGTCATGTTGGACGCTATTGTGAAAAATGTTCGTTATTAATATTCATCTTGCTTCATAATCTAAGTCTTGGATTGTTTTAGCTTGTGAACGTGGATGGTATGGTCCTGGATGTATTCATCGATGTGAATGTCATGATGAAGGGCCATGTGATACTCGAACAGGCGACTGCATTTGTCGAATGGGTATGACAGGAAAACTTTGCGATCAAGGTTTGTATTGGCAATGAAGAACGTTTCTTTTATACATCTAATCTGTGTAATTTAGAATGTCCGGAAGGAAGATATGGTCAGAATTGTACGGAAATATGTCAATGTAAAAATGGTGCGCGATGTAATAAAGTAACGGGTTGTTGTTCGTGTCCTGTTGGATATTATGGTTCAACATGTCAATTTCGTAAGGAGAAGAAAAATGTTGAATTGAGAAAATACATGACACGATGTCTTTTTCTTGCATGGAAATTAGAATGTCGACCGTTTACGTATGGATTCTATTGTTCAGAGACATGTAACTGTTCCACAGAAACATCCGATGGTTGCGATAGTAAAACGGGTAAATGTCGTTGTAAATCTGGTTTCTATGGTGACCGATGTGAAAAATGTAAGTCCAAACGATGACAAATTTCTAAAAACGATAATTTTCTTCTCGTTTCAAAGCTTGTCCATCGGGACAATGGGGAGAAGAATGTATTAATCAATGTGATTGTAATGGCAGCTCATGTGACTCTCAAACAGGTACATGTATCTGTTCACCAGGTCGAACAGGTCTTCAATGTGAACAAGGTAGATTGTTTTTTGTCTTTCAAAGTTTGAAATCCAGAGTGTTTTCTTTGATATTTAAGAATGCCCAACGAATACATTCGGAGTTGGTTGTAAACCTTGTTTATGCCAGTCTTTTGAACTATGTGATGTTGTCACCGGAGAGTGTCAATGTCCAACAGGTTGGAAAGGTGATGCATGTCAATTTCCAGCAACAGCGAACGGACCCGGTTTGTATAAAATCACGAAAATATGCTTCATCGAAATTCAAGTTTGATGTTCGTTTTTAGATATACCGGAAAGAGGCGATATGTACAAAAAAGATAGTTAAATCAGATGGAAATTGTGTCATATCGGTCAAGTTTATTTTTTTATATTTACTTCTGTAAGTTTTTAATTGAATTTTTTTGTGTAGTCATTTCAAAGAAAAAAAAATAAAAGAACAGATACATATATAACGCATATTCACCCTGTAAAGAGAGACTCCGTGCGTAATGCAGAGTGATAAAATCGAATAGATATCAATGAAGTTTGTCTCGGTATAATTTTCGTCTCAAGATGAATATCATCTATGTATTAACACTCTCCCATGAACAACGGATTTGAGTAGTTAAATGATTATGATGAATTTTATTGATTAATTTGAAGATTCACTTTGATAAAATTAAGAAGAGCGAATAAAATATGCGTCAAGCGAAATGAGATATGCAAAAGCAGAAAAAGGAGATCACCAAAATCCATTGCCATCGGTTTGCCAATCGGGATAGATCGTTTCCAAATCATCTTTGGTTATAATACGTTTTTCACGAATACGATAGAGTTGCTCAAGTTTTTCATTCACTGGCTGAGTTGGCAACGGACGGAATTGTGCTTTATAACGAATATTCGCCAAATCCGGACGAGGATCTGAGACATAATAAATCGCGATTGATTTGCGTGAATTACCCTCAGGACATTTGATTGGGAGAGGTAAACCGTGATACGACACATCCGATGTGCGAAAAAGCATAGCTGTATTAAAACACGGAGTTAATTTCTTTTCGCATTTTGTAAAATCTTCATTCCATAGTTCAATCGCTCCACCATATTCTTCTTTCCACTCTTTAGTAAAATAAATAATTAAATTCACTCGACGTTCTTTGCCTGTTATGGGATGAATACTGTAGTCTAAATGCATATCGAGCTTACCACCGGGAATGTGTTGATGAAGTCCAGCACCATGGAGATGCGGATCAGCTTCTAAATTATCAATTCCGCTGATTTGTTTGATAATATCAACGAATTCTTTAGTTTGTAGCAGAGCAAATAATTGCTTGAATTCAGGTAGCGAGGAGAAGTCGGTTAAAGCATGCTTTTTCTCGATTGGATTGTGATAGACAATCCACTTATGATCATCGCTAACTTTTGGAAATACTTCGTAAAGTGCATCGGCGATTTCTGGTTTGAAGAAATTATTGATTTGAACATTCGGAAATGGTTTCGCATCATTGAATTCTTTGTTCAGAGTTTCGAGATCATTGGTCCATGAGCCAAATGATTCAATACCTTTGCTGAAAAGTCCACTGTTCTCGTTCGTTTCTGTTGACGTAGATTGATTTACATCCATGTTTACCTAAAATAATTAAACAAAGAAAACAACAAAATTTATGATCTTCTTTTTGATTAGTTTCATCGATCGCGATCGGAATCGAATACAACAAGTGAAGTGAAAAATGAGGCAAAGAAGAATTCCTCATTCGTCTCATTATTTAACAAGGAAGTGCGTTACTATATGGTCTTCATTCAATAAAGAAAATGAAAACCGATCATACCAGTAGATTCTCGGTTTTATTCTTGACTAAAAGAGTTGTCTCATTTTTCTAATTGTTCAAAAGACAGACAAGCGGAACTCCTAACAAAATTACTATATTGTCGAAGTAGTATCGTGCCAGAAAATGCGACTTGTTTATTCTCTTGTAGAGAGTCAGCATTTTCTTTGCATTCCAGAAGACTTCAGAGAAAAATTTAGTTCGGTTTAGTGACTATTGAGCAACAAATGTGAGGGAATTCATTTGAATGAGAATGTAGAAAAGAGAAATTACTTTGAAGACATTTCTTTTGAATGCAAGACGGGAAAATTGTTATCAGAATGGAAAAAAGAACTTTTCTCTAACATACTTTTTTCTGTCTACTATTTGAATAATTTAATCGAATTTTTTTATATTTTAATCTTGTTTCTCATGGCGCACTTAAAATAACGATATTATTTTTTTCTCTCCCAGATTTTTGTCAACAAGACTTGAAGAACGAAGCATGAGAAGTTTTTTTTAAGCTAAAAAAATTGCTTGCAGTTGCCTACGTTTGAGCGATAAATCAAGATTTTAATAAAATACGATGATTCATTGCTTATTTAAAAGGCATTGCAAAGGAAATGAACTCACTGAGGTACACATTGTTAAACATAGTAGACCTTCTGTCCTGTATATCAAGATTGACGCTGCAAATAGACCGGTATCACTGTTTGAACTAAACGAAATGTATGTTGTTAGATAGTTCTACGTCAGTTCTTTGAACTCGTGGATGAATATGGTAACATACATATAGAAAAGATGCAGAATATGTAGTATTAACATTTCTTTCGTGTTGTATTCCGGTAGCCGATCGGAAAGAGTTAAATGCCTAATCAGTAGAAGTGTTATAGTTATGAAAATTAATGATATTTTCCTAATCGCTCGTTCTATTCTGGTGGTTTTAGAAAAGATTACTGAAGGTGAAAGTGAGTTTTAATCTTAATTCTAGTCCGAAAGAAGATAGCATTGAAAATTTTGATGTTATTTATAGTTTATTATAAGAATAGCAGTAAATCTACAAAAATGTCCGTTTCAGGATGTCTTCCAATGTTTTGTTGTGATTTGCAATGTTCCAATTGTAATTAAATATTGACCTAAACCATATGTGAACATAATAAATAAGCCCGCGACTGGTATCTGTATCACAAATCTATTAAAAGCCAGTATAGTATCTGACAAAACGAAAAATATAGCTCCAATAAAAACCGACCAAAAGCCAGGCAGTTTCTGATCACGCAAATACGAGATATACGCCATACCAACAATGATAAATATATAAAAAACGACAGGTAGAAGTAAACCTTTGGTTTCGTCTCTATCGACTTGTAATTTCGGACATAAAACATAAAGCATTAGTGCAATATATGCTAAAAATGGAACTATGGCGACTATCATTGCTGAAATCGTTAATCGTCGTCTCAATTCTTGTCCTTCATGTCGTAGTCGGACCACAAATGAAATAACATAACTGATATGCGCAATTAAAAATGAAACTAAACCAAACACAAATAAATGATTTCGACGTTGCATCAACAAAATATCGCCTATACACGAAAAACTCAAGGATATTACTAAACAAAATCGTTCGGCGGATAAATTGTGATGTGCATTGAGAAAAACTAATAATAATAATACAGGCATTAACAATGGTTTAGATAACCAGATAATGAAATAGTTTTCTGTAATTTCACCGTAAATTTCCGCCATGAGTAATATTGCGAAGAGTAATGATAAAGATCCAACGTATGCCATGATGATTTTGCTATGTAAGAATGTCGAGAAAATAAGAGAATTTTGAATGTAAAGAACTATTTCTCGTTGGTGAAGATAAGAGTCAGCATTGACGAATGAGAAAAGAATCGATTCATTTACTATGCCATTGTAAAGTTAGTGACAGAAAGAGGATCAAATAAATAGTGACCGTAACATGAACTGCATGGCACATGTACCATAAAGAGCAATATTTGCTGAGTAATTTGGTTTCGAATCAATTCTACAGAGACAATCAAAATATTGCACAATCGCAGATAGTATTTATTCAGTGAGACGATGCTCTTATGCAAATATTTCGTGTTATCATATCGTTTTTTTTATTGCATTTATCTAAAATTCTTCTATATAAACTCACATTATCTTTTATCGTGGTTAGAGCATTTGCTAGCGATGCGTCTTGTCGTGATTCTCTTTTTCGTGGTCGGTTGTTCGTGTGATCTAAGAGTTTTAATTGATCAAAACGGAGGTTATAATGTAACAGTCAATAACCAATTGTGGCTGCGTTCAGCTCGAACAGCAATTTATGTTGATAGTCGATGGTATTCAACAGATAATCAATCACTGCCGTTAGTTGATATACGCACTGACCAAGGTACGGATCCTAATTTAGGTAGTTGGAATGAAACACGTTTGACTTATAATCTTGTTCGTCCTCAAAGTTCAACATCGATTGTTGCTCGTATCCGTCAGTGGAATATCGTTTCGGCATATACGTTCCATCTGGAAACAGGAGATCAAGCTTTAACAAATGAAGTAGTGTTGGATATGGAACAGGTTCGAACGGTATTTCCATCGTTTCATATTGAAAAAACTGATATGGGTGATAATCGCGGATATTTTACATTTGGAGGTGAAATTTCTTGACAATTTTTTTTTCTTTGTGAATGAACATTGAATCGTCTTTGTAGGAGCTATGGTTGGTGAAGGTGATAAGCACGCTGGTAATTGGAATTCAACAAGTAAAGTGATCAGATCCGGAATGCAAAGTGGACCTGTCGTTCTCTTCAATTTAACCCAACGTGCCGAAGGTGATATGTTAGTCATCTCTCCATTTTCTCATTTTATGGCTAGTTCATTATCACAACGAAGTCCAGTTTCGGATAATATATTAGAATATGGTGTGATAGGTTCTATGTCAACCATACCTGCGAATTATGCACAATCACTCATTATATTCTACTCACCGCGTGGTGTCAATGAAGGAATGCGCGAATGGGGTCAAACCATGCGTCAAGCATTTAATCGAACTACGGAAAATCGTCGTAATGATCTTACAATAAACTACCTTGGATACTACACTGACAATGGTGGTTACTACTATTACAATACTGAACAAGGAATGAATTATGAAGCAACGATGATCAATGCCAAACATCAGATTCCACTTCCGTTCCACTATATACAACTAGATTCCTGGTGGTATTACAAAGGTATTGGCGAAGGTGTTTCTCAATGGACAGCGCGTCCTGATATATTTCCAGATGGTCTTGTTTCTTTACATCGTCGATTAGAAAATATACCTCTAGCAGCACATAACCGATATTGGGCATATGATACAGTCTACAAAAACAAATATGCTTTTGCTCTTGACGTTGGTAATGGAAAAGCCTTACCCATTGGAAATGATTCCTTCTGGTTAGACTTCTTTGTTGAAGCTCGTAACTGGGGTTTAGTTTTATACGAACAAGATTGGCTTAATGTTCAAACAATACAGTTTCTTCCAACACGCACTAATATTGATATTGGCGAACAATGGCTCAAGTCCATGGGTAGTGCAGCCGAACGCGTGGGCATAAATATTCAATACTGTATGAGTTTACCGCGTCATATTTTACAAGCTTTAGAAATCCCACGTGTTACCCATGCACGAGCTTCAGATGATTATGCCGTTCGTTTAAGAGATCCACAGAAGTCGCAATGGAATATTGGAATATCGAGTATGTTCGCCGATGCTATTGGTTTAGCACCGTTTAAAGATGTTCTCTGGTCAACATCAGAACAACCTGGCTCACCTTACTCAGCAACTGCTAAAGAACCTCTTCCAGAACGAGAGATTCTCATTGCCACACTTTCAACAGGTCCCGTCGGCCCAGGAGATGCGATTAAGTATACAAATGTCGAACGAATTATGAAATGCTGTCGTCAGGATGGTCTTATCTTGAAGCCTGATCGACCATTGACAACAATTAATGCATTAATTGCTGATTGGGCTTCATACGATGGAGTTCTCCAAGGTGAACTTTATTCAACACAAACAACGATGTAAGATTTTTCTGCTCAATTTTTCTCTTTAGAAAAATAATATTGTCTTTGTAGAAATGATCGAGAATTTCATATCATCTTTGCTTCAGCTATGAAACGAAATTATGTTGTTTATCCGTCAATGATTGGTAGTGAATCTGGTGTCATCTGGTCGTACGATAATACAGATGTAGTCTCAATTTTTGATGATACGCATCCTCTTGAAGTTCCTGCTGATAAATGTGGTGATTTAGCAATCTGTGTTTGGTACGTATCACCTCAATGGCAATTCAATGATCCCATTCATATAAAATATGCTTTTCTCGGCGAAAAAAATAAATGGACAGCAGTCAGTCAACAGCGAATTTCTTACATCGCAACCAACACCGAAAAAACACAAACCACAATTACTGTTCAAGGTGCAAAATCGGAAATAGTTCCACTTGTCGTTTATCATTCAACTTTACACTCCGTCAATGTCAACTGTTCAATATCAGCCGATAAAGGCCAAGCACAACTGGTTATCACCCCGACCACTGTTACTTGTTCGTAAAGATTTGAAGAAATCCGTACAGCACTAAGACAAAAATCCATTTATTTGAAAAAAAAAGACAAATATTTTTCAAGATTCGCTTCTGTGAATGAAATCATTCTTCATTTTCCTTTTTAAAGAATAAAATCTAGACAATCAATTGACTTTCTTAGTTATTTTTATAATTCAAATGGCCAGATACTTCCAGAAAATTGTATGTATTAAAACGTATAACTGGTATTTTGACACAAAGTAGTCATATACATATAGAGGTCGAGATGATGAATATTCATATCAAATTTACAATTTCTTTTTTTCCGTTTTTTTGCTAAAATGTGTGATCATACGATCCTAAAAGTGCGAGTTAATACAAAAAAATGAAGAAGAGATGTAAATAAAAACAGTTAACATCAAAAAGAAAAGAAAAAGCAAGAACAATAACTAGAAAGTCAAATATGTTCAACAAAAAGATTCAGAACAATATTGCAATAGTTGAATATCGTCTAAATCGTAGTGAGAAACAGAAGAATTTAATAGTGTAGAAGAAAGTCATGTCACAACTTTTTTAAGGACTCAAATAAACAATTTCGACATTATTCTTTTTCTAGTCAGAATACAGAAGGAATATATAGACAAAACTCGGCGATAGAGAGGCAAAGAATCTTTATTTATATATTGAGTAATTTACATGATTTAGTTCACTGATCTTCGTTTTGGAAATACAGTATTGATGGGAGTAGAGAGTCTAACAAGCGAGTCAAGTACAGCATTTGGTGGATTAAATGATGAATCCATCAATCTGCCAAGTGCGCGGACAAAGTCTCGACAATTGTGTTCTGTTGAATCATAGTTTCCTTTTCTCCATGAACCCTCCATTTCATGGACAGCTTCCAAAATCTCACCAAAAGTCATACTAGTTTTAAACTTGTCATCATAATCAACTGTATTGGAATCACCCATTATGGCAGCACAAGCCGTTTTGATACCGCGCTTTTTGTTAAAATATTGAATAACGATTCCATCAGCTCCGTACTCGATTGTACAGTAGAATTGTTCACCTATAAGAAGCCATGCCCAATGTTTTTCACCAAAAGCACGTCCTATACCACGTCCAAGAAACTCAATTTTCACTGAGTGCTCCATTCTTTCGTATCCAGGTAACATATCTTCAATATTATTATGGTCTAAGCAGACAAAACCATCACCATTAACAGTAACTTTACGGCAAGAGGTGCTGTTTGATCCTGATGATGCAGATACAAACGAAAATACTCCAGACAGCAGGCCAGCCATTTCGGTTCTTAAAATATAGCTTTTGCCAATTTCAAAATAGAACTCTGCGAAGGGCAGTACTTTTATCGTTTCTATTAATATATATTCAAAATGAAATAATAGACAACCGGATTGGTTTGATTGTGTTTAAAACTTTGTTTAAACTAACGATGAATTTTGATATGACCGAGGTGAAATGTGAAACAATGTATTGCATGACAAAATACATATCTAAGTGCATATATATACAAGATGTCCAAACAGACAAAAAGCATCATAGGTAAACTACCACGACAAATTAGGAAAAAACCTATGTTTGTGTTACCTGAGTAATTTATTGGGCTTGTCTTTTTTTCTTTCTCTACGCAAAATATTTCTTTTCATCATAATTTTTTATACACATATTTACCTGTATTTGACTCATTTATATTGGTAATGGTTTCTTTTTCCCCTCATTAACTCAAACCTATCGATGTTGAACTTGATGAGATATCTTCATATCCTGACAACATCTATGTTTTTGTGATATCGTCAAATTATACGACGAATAATAACCGTAAGATTTATGATGATTCCGTTTTCGTTTCTTTTTCGATTGTGATATAGTTGGATACGAACTTGAAAGAACACATCAAAGCAAAAGAGGATTTTGTAGTCACATTAACACCATTTTACTAAAAATCAATTGATGCTAATGTGATTATTTGTTATTTTCGAGTATTTAATATTATACATGTGGATTATTCATTAAAGTTTTATTCAAATTAGACCAGCATCAATTCTTAGTCTTTTTTGTTACATAGCGAATCGTTCTAGTACGATATGTTTATGTACCAAAATGACTCAAATTTGCTGAGTTACATATTTTTTTCTTTCCTCTATTTTGTGACATAGAGACATTTTCTTTCTTTTTGTTTTCAATCGCGTTCTACGT